GTTCTTTTCTGAGAATTAAGGGATCGGTTCTTGCTACTTCAATTGTTTTATCCTCTATCTGCACAGGAAAAGAAACTATGATCTAATTGATTTTTTTTTATCTCTATTGTCAAATACCACACAGCATTCCTGTGGAGTTATAATGACCTCTGCTACCTGTTTTCTCTGTCTTCACATACCCACACAGTTCCACCTGCTTACCAGCCATTTAGAACAGTGGGGATGATGAGGCTTGTGGAAATCGAAGGAAGAGGATTCTAACAAGTAAATGCTCCCTGAGCAACATGAGCCAAGCTTTCTCTAAACCTCATGGACAACTCATTGACTCATCTTGATTTTCTTTTATAATTAGTCTTTTTTAAAATTAAGTATTAAACAAAATGACTTCCCCATAAGCCAATTCAAACGTTAATGACTTCTTGTCTTCAGGTATGCACGAAACAGGTAGGAATCTATTAAAAATGCTGCTCCAATCGAACCACCAGACCAGCTGATTTGGGGATGTGTCAATAATCATCTTTTATTAGTGGAATCAATTTTAGTATCAAAAGTCATATCTGACCCAGTGCCTATTACTTCAACAACAAATTTTCATTTGTTTAATATTTGATGCCTGTTTGGTGATATCCATGTGATTCTTGCTTACCAGCTTTATATTCATCAAGGTTTCTATGCAGGTGAAAAACAATTCTACATCCAGAACCATGTTTCCAAAGAGTAACTGTCAGCTGGGCAGCACTTGGTGTGTAGTATGTGTGCTTAAGCAGTAGAATTCTAAGTGTCCATTTATTTTAAAAGTGTGCAAGAGCAGATAAGTGCATGTGGGTACTGAATTGCTCAGACCAGGCACATGGCATTTCCCTTACCATGTAAGTTTTCTCTATAAATCACTGGCAATGTGTCCCTTTGTCTTACTCTATGTGTATTTTCAACATTGTGAAAGGAAGATCTGCTCTTTAAGAAAGAAGTAGGTGACAAAAAAAAAAAAATCAATGACAGAATGTGGGATATGATGTTATCTACTTGTAATCGCAGACTTGAAAGGTCGAAACAGGAGGACCAGGAGTTCAAGGCCATCCTCATCCCCACTGGGAATTTCAGATCAGCCCAGGATATAGGTTTCAGACAATCAAACAAAAACAGCTAAGGGTACAGGTGCTGGAGGTTTTTGTTTGTTTTCTTTATGTTTTTGTTTTGCTTTGTTTTCTTCACTAGGTGGATATCCTAGTTATAACCAAGGCAAAATGTCAGGTTTAAAATCCCTTGACTGCTCTCCTTTGCTGTGGGTTTGAAAACAACATTCTTTAGATTTTTAATATCTTTTTCTATTAATAACTGTTAATAACTGTTACTTTAACAATTACAAGTTACCTATTACAACAAACATGCCAAAATTTAGATGAGATCATAGTTTTCATTTAACTTTGATAAGAAATGATGCTAGGTAAGTCTTATGTTAATGCCCTAAATTGCCAGTTGTGCCTCCATAGCTATGTTGTTGGCTTCTCACGCTTGACAGATACTCTCTTCAGAGAATTTCTAGCTTGATTCTCTTTCAGCTGATCATCACCTGCCCAATATCAGCCATGCTCTGTTGTAGCTTTTAACTCTAAGGAAGCAAGTTTTCTCTAATTCTAAAAGAAAAATTGGGCTCCCTTACTGAGCTGTTCATTCATCACATCTGGGGACACTTAAAGATTTACTTTTCCAAGTAGCCTTCATTGTCAAATTCTTATACTTGAGGGTCATTACTGCTAGATAGTCATTCAGTTCAGATATAATAAGAACTGAGTAACTGACAGGTGAGGGGATAACCACATTTGACTAGTATTCATAGAGGTGTTTCTCTGCGAACTTTTTTCTACTATAGTATTGCAGTTGGTAACTTAATTGATAGAGTAGCCAGAAACCTACAATCAGGGAGGTATATTATGGGGAGGGGGAATTAGTGGGCTGAGTTTTGCAATGTAACTGTAAGCTCTCATTTGACAAAGGAACAGTGAAGCCAGTGTATACTTCAAGAATTAATATGATTACATGCATTAGGTTTTTATGAAAGTGCAAAGACACAAGAGCATACAGGCAGATATTGTAAATGTAGTTTGAGTTTTCCTCATTGCATAATTATCCTTCAGAATAAAAGTTGCCTACTTGCAACTCTTGGCAGATATTATATTACAAGTTGCTCTATTTACGACAGGAAAAATGCATTAGCTTGAAATACTCAGAATCAATTCCAGTCTTAGATGCTCTGTAAAGGATAACTTATAGAACCACAGAAAGGGAGGCAAGGGCAGTTAATATAGATTTTATCTTCATGCCTGAGGATGTGACCTCTCAATTGTAGATGTCAACTATAAGCATACTCTTCTTCTTCCTGAGAAAGTACAGGATCCATTAAAGTGGAGCTTGTTACCACACAACAGAGTGATTAATAAGCAACAACAATGGAGTGGATTAATGTTATATTATTGGTGGTTGGCAACCGTGACAAATTTCTCGTTTGTAGTATTTTATATATTAAAAAAAAAATACTCTCTGTGGCTAACTTGATAAAGTGGTTGCTTCCCTTGCCATCAAGATTGTCTGTGTTTTATCACTAGAAAGAATCTTAAAAACCTGATGTGAAGGTGCTCTTCCTGTAACCCCTAAGCTGGAGAGACAGACAGAAGTATAAGCCACTGGTTCACTAGCAAGCCAGCCTAATCTACTTTGTGTGCTCTAGGCCACTGAAAGACCATGTCTCAAAATAAGATGAGAGGGACACTCCCTTGAAGCTGTTGTGTGGACCTCAAACATGTACACATACACACATACACAGAGGCAAGTGTAAACAGGCACTTTGGGATATACATATACAAATGTACTACCAGGCAATATTTGATTTGGTGCAGTGATAGAAGAAAAGGAAATATTGCTAAATTAATATACTTTACCTTTGTTTGTACACAAAAATGAAATGTAAAGTATGATTATATAACAAAATATACTGCATAAAGGCATACACAAATAAGAGTTCCTATAATCCTAATCTCGGGAAGCAAAACTGTGATTGACAAGGGAGTGGCGAATGTCGCATTAATCAGTAGTCACAGTAGTCCCATGCATTGATTGTACTGTCATACATGTCTCACGGGAAAGAGGAAGTTATTGTTCCCAAATATCTGGTGAAAATTTGTAAAGCCATTGCTTAAAAGACAGTATTGCACTCTTTAGACTTTTCATTAAAGTACAATATTGTTGTGAGTGGGTTTCATTCAATCTGTTGAAGACCTTGAGAGAAATCATGATGACCCTGTTTTAGGCACATACTATGAGGGGACAATTCCTCGTATCTTTAGCTCCATAGCCTTCTGTAAATATTTTAAGCCCATCTATTTCCATAACCATATGAGCTAGTGCCTCAAGACAAAAGTCAAACTATCTATTCTTCTATCCTATTATGTCTCATCCTCTGGGGATTCTCAGATTGGGCTCTTTGAAAGAACAGTGAGCACTTTTGTCACTGAGCCACATTTCCAGCCATTTTAAACATTTGTCCTTTACCTTCTAACATGTTTTGTTCTTTTGTTTATTTGTCATCCACACTACTGACTATGTATGAAGGCAGAGACTCTTCTTTGTTCTTTTCCACTGGTAGTACAAAGAGACCTTCAATATATTTGAACTTATTCAATTACATATTTAACCAGTGTTTCATGATATATTAAAAAAAGTTATCCAGTATCCAAGTGGGTTTCCTACTAAGGGGAACAGGGAATGTCCCTGACATGAACTCAGTGGCTGGCTCTTTGACCCCCACCTCCCACCCCGCTGAGGGAGTAGCAGCCTTACCATGCTACAGAGGAGGACAATGCAGCCAGTCCTGAAGATACCTGATAAACTAGGGTCAGATGGAAGGGGAGGAGGACCTATATACCAGTGGATTTAGAGAGAGCCAGGGAGGATATGAGGGAGGGAGGGTGGGATTGGGAGGAGGTACAGCAGGGATACAAAGTGAATAAAATGTAATTAATGTAAAAAATTAATTTAAAAAGTTGAAAACCTGAAAAATAATTTTCAGTTGTTAACATTAATGGAAAAATTTTTACTAGTATATATGTAATATGCATCTTTATTACAGTTTGCTTGGTCAAACTTTTGATAGCTAAGAATTAAGCATATTTTAGGTTGTCTTATTATTATCTAGAACATTCCTTGTGAATAGCAAATGTAAACATTTTGAACATATAATATGTGAATCATATTTTCTATTTTGTATAATAAAAAATTACTTATAAATATTTCCACATTTTATTACATTTCCTGAACTCACAATTCCATCTACTGTTATAATAATAGATGGAAAATTAACAACTTGACATATAATTATTAGATGTTTGCTTAAGTTGTAGAGTATGGATTTCTGCACTACTAAAACACTTAAATCACAACTTGTGTTTTATCTAATTAGAAGCCTTAATTAATCAAGACCAAATCTACCTCCTATCTAGGCACACATTAATACAGTTTCAAAGTTAATTTCAGGGTTTTTAATATGTTTATGAACAGATAAATAAATTCTATAGTTTTTTCTTGCTGATCCAATTGATGAGGATATATCTATAAAATAAAACTTTTCTATTGAAAGCATCTTTTAAATAGGTAAAATCGGAATTATAAAATAATAGTACATTACCTGATATGAGAAAAAAATTTACTGTACAAACAAGAAAGCCCTAAAAATGAAAGGATGCAGCATAAAGATGGGTGTGAGAAATAGGCAGGAAAAGCATTTTCAAACAGAACTGAGGCTGTTTATTTTATTAGAAAGTTGACACAGGTTATCCTTGGTGTTTATGACTTGCAAACTAAAGTATTTAATATTTATCATGTTTAAATACAAGCAGCAGCAGTTTAGTAATCAAAAGGAATAATTTGAATCATCTTATGAAAATAAATTCATTATAATTAGGATATTTCAGAACATGTTTAAAACATTTCTGAGAAAATGTATTCACCTTTCTTGTCATCGAAGTACAGAGTCTGTTGAGCTGGATTTGACCACTGGAGGGAGGTGTTATCATTTTGATCAACTCTGCAGGTCAAAATTGCAGTTCCGCCTTCAACAACCGTTACATTTTGAGTTAGTGGAAACTGCCCTTGGCTGCCTAAAAGGAGATTAAAGAAAATGTCGATTAAATGAAAGTTATAAAATAATTAACTCCCCCAAAAACAACATTGCACATCGGGATTTACACAAAATAAAATTTAGAACAACAAAATTATACATTACAAAATATAGAAAAGCAATTTAGATCCATTAAGTCAACCCTTCTGTGCACCATTAGGGCTCCTGTATAGTTCCTTCTATTTCTCAGAAAAAGTACCTCCTCAAGGTACACATGAAGATATATTCCAATAGTAATACAATAATCTTTAATTTTCCTTGGACTAGTATTGGTTATGTGGTGTTAGATGAAGTCACTGCTGAAGATAAGGCAGGGAGTGATGTTGCATGAATTAAGCTCTCTGCAGGAACATAGAAAACTCGTAAAACACTTCCAGGTAGCTTTTTATAATGTAGAACAAAGCTCATAATATATAAAAACTATACGTTTAGAGTTAATTTATGATAAAAGAAATGATAATTGAACCCCACCTTATTGAGAAACTTTATAGAGCCTCTTCTGATAAACAAAATGTCAGCAAACAATATGTCTACTCTATAAAGAGTATTCATGCTTTAGAATATTTCTTGAAAATTTTCAAGAGTGACATACACCTATAGTCTTAGCCACTCAGGAAGCTGAACAAGGAGCCCCTGCATTCCAGGAATTTGGGGCCAGCCTTATTACCAATAGCAACATATTTTCTACAGAACAACAGCAACAACTTTACCCCCCTCACATGTGTGCCCATACAATTTTCATCCAAGAAGATATTTATAACTGCCTTGCCTGCATTTCTGTAATAATTATCGTTCTCTGTATTCAAGATAATACATCTTTTTAAGTTCTTAAATGAATCATCAATTTAGGTAACGCCAGCATATAAGCTATTTTTTTCTATTTTCACTTGTATTATATTAATGATTAATGCAATCTATGTAATAAATCTACTTAGCAATCACACCCGAAATAATTTAAACAAGGTTACTGCGTATAGGAATGTAACATATACTTTTCATTTCTGGAATGATCTGGAGATCAAGTCTGCCCAATCTGATAACAAAGATCCACAGTGATAAAAATGATATACCAGAACCAGGTGAAACTACTATTACGTGAGCATGGTAGATCATTAAGTCAAAAACAATTTACATAGTCAAGGACAGTAGGGTGCCTTAATCACACCCATGAAATATATTTCTCTTTTCTTCTTTAGTTTGTAATGATTCTCTCATTACTCCAAGAACCACTTGAGCTGTTGGCATAAAGAAGTTTATTACCAGGAAGCTTGTTGATTGGCACCAGAAGAGACAAAAGGGCCTGAAGGGAAACATTTCTTTCAAGGCTTAAATGACCCAAGCACAGAGGTTCATGACCACCTTATATAATTAAGACTTTCAGGACCTTTTACCTTTTCAATGCCAGCTCCTTCAAGTCACCATGACAACTCCCCAGGATACCTCCTTTTAATCTAATATGAATTTTAAAATTAAGATTGGAGTTTTTAGTAACATATCCTTTGATAGTTGACTTGAAATTCAACAGGACCATATTGGGGTGTGTCTTGCCTTCAGCTCATAGATGACCTCTAGTGGGGAGCTCAGAGGACTATGGGTCTTGTCAAGTGATGTGAAGCAAAAACCAAAACACACCCAGCAAACGTCAGCTCAGACACAAAGGGAATACTTGCCTAGGATTATCAGCTCATAAAACAGAGCTCAGTATGATTCTAAGGTGCATTTCTTGGACTCCTTGTTGTTAATATCATGTATAAATTGAGCAGTCCAGAGGTGATTCTCCAAATCTCATAAAGCTCACAACTGCTAATAAATAAACACGGTTCAATCTAAACAATGTTTTAACCATCAAGTGCATTGATGACACGGTCTGTCTCTTTAAAGAATTCAGGGGGGAAAGGCAGTGATGCCTGCAACAATTTTATCTACTACATTTGCAAAATAATTTTCAAAACATCCCCATAAGAAAATATTATCCTTCTCATTTCACAGATGGGTAAACTGACACTGGGAGGTTAAGTGATTTTTTTTCCTTTCCCTTGGTGAAACAAAGTCAATGAACCATTTGAAGTTTATTCTGAAAGTTCCACATTTTTTTTCCACAGGGGCTGCTGGGTCATAATAGTTGTGTTACCATTTGATGAAATGTGAATTCAACAACAAAAGGGGGAAAAAAATCAGTAATCATTTTTTTACAATGAAATTGAAATTGTAAAATCGGATAAATGTCAGTATTTGTTGTACTTAAGTCTTCTGTGGTAATACAAGAAACTAATTCACTATTTCAGTACTTAATTTCTGTTCCAAGAAAGAAAGAAAGAAAGAAAGAAAGAAAGAAAGAAAGAAAGAAAG